CAAAAATTTATCAGCTATAAACCATACTCAAACCTATGATTGAAACAGAAATTTTTCTGCTGTGCTCAAAGTTCATGTCCTGTCTGAATCTACAAAAGAAATGAAGAAAGAGAAGATACATGGACAGACAACAACAGATCATGTAAAGGGTGGCAGGATAATACTGTTGCTTTGTTTACTGATTGGAATCTATTTACAGAATGGTTTTCATAGTTCAGTAAAGAAGTAAGCACTGGGAATTTAGATAACCAACTGGGCAGCAACAGTTACCATGGTCTTCAGCTCTGCTACTCATCAGCTGTTTCTCTGAAGCCTTCTGGCCCTTTATTTCCAGAACATAAGGACATCAAAAGGCAGCAGATCTTGCATGTTTAAACAGACACAATACTTGAAACATTTCTTTAGCTGGGGAATTATGGCAAGTGTGATTTAGGTAATATGATTATAAAAGTCACACCGGCGTAATGAAATAATAACGAAGGTATGTTAGACCGAATTAGGCGAACTAGAAATCATTTTAATCCAAGAGACACAAACAGTGACTAAATAAAACAGCTAAACCAGTTTTGCTGTACTTATCTTAAATACTACAGATGAACAGCTGCATCAATCACAGCTAGGATACACACTCACTATCTCATGTAACATTTCAGTTTTAAGGAGATGCATGTATTTTACTTGGGAAAAACAGTACTGAAAATATAACATTTCATTAATGTTGTGCCAGTTTTGGCTGGGATAAAGTTAATTTTCTTCACTAAGCTAGAATGGAGCTCATCTTTTGGATTTGTGCTGAAAACAGCATTGGTAACACAGGGATGTTTCTGTTATCGCTGAGCAGCGCTTATAGAGTGTCAAGGCCTCACACCACCTCACCAGCGAGTAGGCTGGAGGTGCACAAAAAGCTGGCAGGGGACACAGCTGGGACAGCTGACTCCAACTGACCAAAGGGATATTCCATACCATATGATGTCATGCTCAGCAATAAAACCAGGGGGGAGGTTGGCAGGGATGCCACTGCTCGGGGGCTGGCTGGGCATCAGTCAGTTGGTGGTAAGTAATCGTTTTCATTTGCATCACTTGTCCTCCTTGGGTTTTATTTCTCTTTCTTTGTTATCTTCCTTTTCTTTACAATTTTTTTTTTTTTCCAGTTAAGGTGTTTTTATCCCAACCCATGAGCTTTCTCAGTTTTACACTTCCAATTCTCTTCCCTATCCCACTGGGACTGGGGTGGGAGTGAGTGAGCAGCTGTGTGGTGCTCAGTTGATGGCTGGTTAAACCACAACAATGTTTATCAAAGTAATATGAATAAAGTAAACCAAAAAGCATTCACCCAGCGCTTGTCTCTCAAAATTACACAATAAAGTCAGAAGAGCACCAAACAAAACACTCGTTTTAGAATAATTGCCACATGCAAGTCCATTGCACGCGTCCATTGCAGTTCCACCTGTTCGACAGCACTAGTGGCACAGAACACAGGAAGAGAACTATTGTTTAAGGACAACAAAAATTTATCAGCTATAAACCATACTCAATCCAGAATGCTGGATCTAGAACAGATGTCTAACAAAACAGAAGAGCAACCAACTCCCCTCACTTCTCATTCTACATGCTGGAAAGCAGAAAATTGATAATCAGATGTTCTACTCCTTCCTGAAGGACTAGTTATCACCAAAAACGCTCTTCTCCAGTCCAATCCACCATGATGGCTAATAGCAGCTAATTAATTTTAAATTCATATTAGAGGAAAAATTGTCCAGTTCAGAGATCGGCATTTATCTGCTTCACAGTTCGCATGTGCCCGTAATCTAACTTGCACCATCCTTCACAATCTACTCATGAGTACTCTGAGGTACAAAACATACACAAGCACAACTATTACACAGTTCCCCCTTAAAACTTACCTTAGCTTCTTCCTCTTGGGCTTTTTTCACAATTGCTTGTAGCTGCACTTCACGTTTAAATTCTGCATGGAGTAATTTTTCCTCCATCATCCTGCGTCTTTGATCTAATAATTCTTCTTTCCATTTCCGTACATCTTTCTCCTATGTATAATGCAGAAATTCATTACCAATACAGTAACTGCAAATAGGGTCTGAATTTTCCTCAGATTTTTCTAATATTTGAAGCTTTAGAGTAATAAAACATTTTGATGTCCTGCACAAAGCCTGCATTAAGTTTAACCCAGAGTATACTGATTTGCTAACTGCTTCAGTTTGCAGAGTTTTAGCATTTGTTGGCTACATGCTACACATTTCTCCTTTTATCATTCCTGCCCTGAATCTGAGTCAGTGTAATTTGTCAGAAACACTCTCGCAAAAGTTTATGATTTGAAATAATGCTTTAACACCTGTGTTGCATGAGTCATCTGTGAAAACCATGTGAACTCAGATTCAGAGGAAAATTTCATTTCACCGCTAGTTTTAATCTCTGACATTTCTAGACCATGTGGAAAAAAAACCCCACACCTCTAATGAAAGGCAGCAGACTGGCTCTTGTATGACAGAAAACTTACCCTCTCCATTAATTTTTGAAGCTTCAGTGTCTTTTCTTCACGTAACTTTTCTCTCAGCTGTTGAGCCTTCATTTGTTTCTCTTCATGTTTCTTTTTGGATTCTGCTATTGTTCTTTTAATAAAAAAAACAAAACAAAGCAAAAGCAAGTACAATATTAACTGACAGTGTTGCAAACGTTTCTGTATCATTTTCAGTGAGAGAAACAAACAGGCCACTGGAGGGCAATTATTTCCCCTAAACATAAATACTGTTCTTCTAGTCTTCAAATCTTTGTTTACTAGACAATGTATAACAAGTCTAGGTCGTTATGAGAATAACGTATTTATTTCTGTAACGTTTTCCACTCATAGACTTAAAGAAAGTAGATTTATGAACAGTTTCATGCAGCCATGAGGCTGGCTGCTTGTTTTCACTGGCTAATTGGCTAATGAAGACAGGTAACAACTCTAAAACCTTTTGCGTGACGGTGAAGACAGTTTCTCATGCATGTGTATTCCATGTCCAGGCGGACGTGCGGGCTCTTCTTCCACTCTGTCTCCCCAAGAATTACTCTGGCGCCACGATTCACGAGCTGTACATAAAGAAAATAACGACTTGGATAATTTAAACACATTTTTCTGGGAGAAGTGCAATTACTGAGGTGTAGTCCTCTTGAAGTTCTCTCTCAAATGGGTTCTCTTCAGCCTAAGGAAGGTGCAAACAGACACTGAAGCATTTCTAATCCCTGTGCATTTTCAATGCTTAATGATTTTACTACACTCTTATCCGAATGCTAAGATAAAACTGGACAACAAATTTTAAAACTCTAACAGAGATGGGGAAGAGAGTTGAAGAACAAAGACACATAGATACAGCTTGAACACACAAGTTCATCTTTCATAAGCAAATAACGTAAAAAAATAAAACTTGGAGTAATACTTAGATGTTAGGGGGATCTAAAACCTTCACTAGCCATGAGTAAAGCAACCATTTTTCTAAACACTGCTGTCATTTCAATGTAAACACAGTAATCTATGAAAATTTACCTTCATAATCTGCCAGAACATCATTCCAGTCCATAGACATACCACAGAAAGATATGCTTCCGTTGCCCATACCAGCCTGAAATTTAACATGATGCAGACAGTAAAAACACAAACCTTAATGCACAGGTGTACACACATATTAAACAGTGCCCACTCAGCAATATTTGGCACCATTTCCAAACTGAACTAGCCATCTCTAAGGCAGATGCTGCTTCTGACAGTAGAAAAGGAGACTTCTCCTTCACCTAGAGAAGCTCCTGCATGGCAGCAATGAAAATAACAAGTCCCAGCTCTGCCAGTTTCGCACACAGAAATAAGCAGGAGGACAATGACTGCAACATCAGAGGACTTTGTACCATTCAGCAGCACTGTGCTGCTGAGTATAGTAAGACAAAAATATACCTTAGAGAGCATGGCATAATTATTTCATGACACTTTCATTTATTTGCATGTAAAACAGGTTGCATTAATGCAAAAACAAACCCTAACAAATTCGATATTCATACTCTGCTGACATCAAAGACAGCCTGAAGTTGGGTACTTCAAAATAAATTGAACACTCACAGAGAAATCGCTGTCATTGTCAGTCTCGATATTAATGTCATTGTTTTCCTCTGCTTCAATCTCTCTAGTTAATTGCTCTTCTTCTGCAATAGCACTAGCAATGGCTTCTTCGTTTGCCTTTTCCAGGCGATCTGCTAACTCTTCTTTCTTAGCAAGGACTTCTGCCATAGACTGTAGGAAACATGAAACAAAACAAAAAAGCAGAATCAATAGCAGGCACAAAAAAGCGGCTTTCATATAGTTAATACAAATTATATGATATTTTGTTCAACTTCTAATTACTTGTAGTTCCTTTACCACTGTATTTCGTGAAGGTAACTGAAATATAAAGCCCACGAAAACTGTTAGCAACTATTAAATCATTTAATAGCCACATGAAACACTTATGAAATTAATTACTGTCCTCATTATTCCAAAAAGCATTACACAAACACTGTCATTAAAAGCAACTAAGACAGTTCTTCTCCAATTATTTTTTTAAATACCTAGTCTTGGGGACTAAGCAATGCATACTCTGAAACATTAATGGCATGTCCTGCTGTTATCTCCAGAAAAGGAATCATGCTCCAAAGTACTATTGAAAGATAAAAAAGGATCTGCAGATGAATTCTATGTGGAAACTTTCCTGTAGTTAATAAAAATTAATCTCAGGCTATGCTTGGTTTTCAACATGAAATGCCAAGATAGTTAGGCAAGAATGTAAGCCTGGACATGCTGACTGATTGTCATCTTCTCTGATGTCGAGTATTAACTGGTTCATTTCCACTCCGGCCACCACACGATGTGGATGCAATACACAAATCAGTGTTCAAAGAAATCTAAATAAGAGCAGTAAAATGCTCACACGAGACACAGATCCAGTTAAACTGCCAGCATCCCGAACTGTTACTAACTGAGAATCTGAAACAATGTTAGCAGATGAGATATTAGAAATCAGCTCTAAAAATAAACAGATACTTGACTTGGAAATTACTTAACAAGAGTCCAGTTTGTAAAAGCTGTTAAAAGAAAAGCAATTTACAGGAAAACTTCTGCAAATCAGAATTTTAATCTAGTTTCTGAAAAAAAAACTAAACAAAACATAACCTGATACTATAAGCTGGATTTTACATAGCATTACTGCAATTCTCCACTCAGAGAATCCCAATAAAGCAGGCACGCCTCAAAACCTGCAGAATTCTACAGACAAGAAAGGACATTCTATGTGGGAAGCCACATAGTAACAGAATACTTCACATTTGCTTCAGAATGGCATTTCTCCAAATTGCTAGTTGGATGGGAAGACCCAAGAGAGCAGTTCAGCCGGTCTCAAAAGGCAGAGGTCTACATTTGTTTCTAACAGAATTTTGACATCCCATGTGTTTCCAGTTTGAATAATTAGCAAAACTGGAGTAAGAATTCAATGAAAGCCTGATTTAAAATGATTGATAGTGAAAGGAAATGAAAAATTATGGCAAACATATATGTAAAAACAGTAATGAAAGCACAGATCTCTCTATTTTAAATAATGCGTTTATATCTTTAAGTTCAGAAACTTTACTAGAATTAAATCCTATCATAAAAAGCATCTGTGCAACAACTCACTTCTTCTACAGTAAATACCTTATAGACTTTTCTACAGTTTCTACAGCAGGCTAACAATAAACACAATGCAATACAGAATGAGAAAACTAAGGCTTATATCTATTATTTACTCAGAAATCTTATAAGATTTCTTACCAATCTGGCAGCACTCACATTTGAAATGTCTGAGGGATCCATTTCAGTTTCAATTTTAGCTTTTTCTGTTTGATGTTGGTCTATAGTATCAGCGATCAGGGAGGAGCCTTCACTAATCTGCAGAGTTTTTGTAGTACAGTCTGTATTTGTGAGAACTGGAGGCATCTCAGAAACCGTTTGTAAGGAATCTCCTTGCAATGGTGTGCCAGTGCTCCCATTGTCTTCTGAGGCGTGTGCTGTGAACTAACAAGAGGCATTTGCAAAATTCACAAAATGTATCATACTGACTTTTAAAGTCACTAGAGTCAAAAGGATTTTAACAAAATACCTGGCAACCTTACAGTGAGTGATGCAAATAACTCCACCTATATTTCAGTTGCTCATAACCTAGTGAAAGTTGGATCTTTCTGCTGGAAATCTTCTATATAGGAGCTGTGACTAACACTGAGTTTTTGGAAAACACAGGAAACGTGTCCACCGTGTTGTAAAATATACAGTTCATCTCATGATTTTTAACTTGCCTAATCGTACCAACATCCTAATGCGTTTCCATATATATAACTGAAATAGCTGTTATTTTAAAATCCCTTTCCAATCTGGTTAGGGAACAAAAGTTCTAGACAATACTACTTTTGGAAAACGCTTTAAAGAAAAAGTTGCAGATTTAAGGTTAGAGAGTGGTTCAAAATTCTACCGACCTGAGTCCTTTCAGTAAGAGGACCTTCAGACTGACGTAAAGGATCCTTCTGCACAAGCTCCGTGCTTTTGGACGCGCTGCTGTCAGTGATCGAACTCCCACACTTATTCTCTGATGGTGGTGGAATGACATTTTCTCTGTCACTGTCACCTTTGGACTTCAGTGATTCTGCAGCTACAGGAGTCTTTGTTGCCAAAGCTGTGGATCGAGATCGAACAGGCCTTCCACGCTGAACTGTTTCCCAGCCCTCTGCATCCTTTTGATCTAGATAAAAAATAAAACACCCCATTCTAAGAAAGGGAGACTTATAAACAGAAGTATTATAAACGACTATTTTATTCACTATCGCACAAGTTGTGTGATAAAACTGTGCCCTTTAAATATCAATTAAAAAAAAATCAATTAAATATTCTTTAACAAAGGCTTTTTACTTCAAGAAGTGCTATCAGTTTCACAAACACTGAACACCTCTATTCATGGGACCAGTTCTGTTGCTTCAAGAAGCTAAGCTGCTCACACACAAAACCATGTGAAAAATGCCAACAGCTACTCAAGCTTTTCATGTCTATGTTGCTATTTCACACGATGGTATAGCACAAAAAAGCAACCACACTCTTGTTCTTCTTTGCTTACTATTCTTCCTGAAATACTTTGTTTACTTTTTCTATCTGTTTCGTTCTGATAATAAAAATGCAGTATTTTTAGGATCATTCACATACAGGAAGAGAAGTGTGCGGGAGATTAATTTTACCTGGAGGAGTAGAGAATCAAAAAACCAACACTAAATTGCCTGCTTTACAGAGAGAAAAACCTCTAGTATAGAATAGAACTCGTATAACAAAATTCATTCTCTGGGTATTTCTAAAGCTTTTACTTACAAAGATGGTCCTGTAGCTCAGACATAAAGATCAGAGCTCAAACATTAAAGTTCAACATAAATATGAATAGGAATAAATATGAGTTACTCAGTTGTCAAAAACTGTAAACTGAAACACCCCAGGGTGGTGAGAAAACGGAATGATTTGTATATTACGATGAATCGCACATTACCAACTTAAAGATTGGCTTAAAACTTGCGTTTCTAAAGATCTGATTTTTCAAAGCAAAATATAAAGTGTTTGAAAAAAAAATAAGATAAAAGTGTTATGCTCTCTAAAAATATCACCTGCTTTCAGAAGGAACACGTGATGGTCAGGTTACAAGAAGTGATCCATCTTTGTGGACTGCCAATAACATGTACGTGTAGGTCAACACACCCACAGGGAGAAGAGAGAATAAAATATTTTTTCTTCCTTTCAGAACATGTATGTTTATTTTAAAGCAACTGGCTTTAAAAAGGACCTGTCTTAGCATCTAATTTTCATGGTCAAAAATCCTTGAGTCTTTTTTAATTTCCCTCCAGGGCATGTGTTTCTGGCAACTCTAAAACAAGTACAGAAATTCTGGTACCACACTTTCACTGGAAGTGCTACACTACAAAGCACTGCAGCAGCACGTCACACGACTGCCAATAAAAATAACGACTATTTTAGGTAAAAGATAAAACCCTTATACCTGCTGGACTAAACTACCTTTTGGTGGACTTGAACTGATGTTCAACATCAGCAGTAACCAGTAAACTGGAAACTAGGCTAAACCAGAAGTAATGGCACTTTCATACTTTGCTGCCTTTGACATCTATCATTTTACAAACATTACGTGCTCGTTTAACTACGGAGTTCTTTTAACAGCTCAGAAGGAAACACAGCAGCCCGGAGTAAACCATGAGTGACCAGTGAAGTTAACAGGACTGTAGTGAAACATATCTTAGCTGAGCAGCTCATGCAAGAGCTGTTTTTACATGATTATATAACTGTTCACAAACCTTAACAATACTGATGACAGATACAAAAAGATAATTCAATTTTATATTTACTGTGGAAACTATTCTGCTTCAGAAAATTTGCTGTATATTTTAAAGCAAACAAAATTCCAAAACTTTGTGTGAATGACTATAGCTGATCTCTTCAGATTACTCTGGTTACTCCTGGTAACCAGAGAAGCATACCTCTGCAAAAAGCTTTTCTATGTTCATTCCCACTATGTGCAGTTGTACATCCTTCAGTATGCACCACTGATTAGAGAAGGGAATGGCAGTCAAAAAGACACAATTATATTTTTTGCTTTACCACAGACTTTTAATTTGACCCCTGTAAACAACTTTGGCTTTATTTTAATTTCTTCATCTTTATATGGAAAAAAATACTATTAGCTACAGGACCAAGTGATCTAATCATGTTATTACCCTCTCAGAGACAATCTCATCTCCAACAATACTCCAGGGAATAGGGTTTTAATTCCACAAGAATCACAAACAGATTTACTGCAGAAAGCTCTAGGCACACAGGCGGTGTAGAGTAATGCCCTGTACTACATGGGACAACAAGGACTGCCCAGGCCCCTTGGATATCACAGCTGCTCCTACCCTATGGACTTCTGTAACTGGTAGGACCACAAAGATTTTGCTGTACACAGCTTACGATAAAATTTGGCCAAGAAATTCCCTGACAAGTAAAATACAGACAACAAAAGACTGTTCAGTAGAATGCTGAAATCCACAAAAAAAGCAGACTTTCGGATGGCGACTCCTTTGCTTGTTATTTGTGAAACAAGATGGCTGCAAGACTTCGCTTCAACTTTTTCTGAAAACTGAAGTCAGCTCTTACATAAGGCATCTTTTCTACATTAAAAAAGATCAGGAGACACCCTTTAGTAGCATCTACTACCGAAACATAGTTTCACTAACATCTAGATAATTCATTCATAGATTTTCATAGATTTCTAGGTTGGAAAAGACCTTAGAGATCATCGAGTCCAACCATCCCTAATCCCCATTAAACCATATCCTCAAGTAGCTCATCCACCCTATTCTTAAACACATCCAGGGATGGGGACTCAACCACTTCCCTGGGCAGCTTATTCCAGTGGCTGACAACCCTTTCAGAGAAGAAATACTTCCTAACATCCAACCTGAATCTCCCCTGACTAAGCTTATGCCCATTTCCTCTTGTTCTATCTCCCATCACTAATGTAAAGAGCCTTTCCCCTACCTCCCCACCATCTTTTCTCAAGGATAATATGATATATTAGTCTTATATATATCTTAATAACAATTGTTCTAATACCTCCTAATATCTTTTACTAATATCTACTGAAGTTACTGTCACAAAAAAAAAAACCTGCCTGCCTTGCCCAGTTGTTTCTTTGTTTCACAGCATATTTCTTAGTTCTCTAAAACGATAGACTTAATCAAAATAAAATTATTCAGAGCATGGCAAAGCCATGATCAACTAACTACAATAAGAATGAATCTTTTACTAGAAGCCATGCATGTTCAATTTTTAATTTGTTCACTGTGAGATTCGTAATTATTACTGAAGACTCATCCAATTATTTTAACAGCACAGAAATACACTTCTGTGTTTGAAAGAATATTGTTTGGTGAATTCTTTAAACATAGAATAGTTTTTAATGCAAGCATGCATTTAACAGTTTTATGCCATCTGCCAACTAGCTGTGCACAAGAATTTACTTGTTCATTTTAATTCACTTATCAGTTTAGTATTCAGTCATTTCCAGGCACATTTTTAAGGAAAAGTTTGCAAAGCTAATATGTTTATTGACATTCTGAAGGAAAGTTAATAGTAGGGCATCACCCTCCTGCCCTTCCTTCACTTTTTTGCCCTAAGCCTGGAATTCTTTTCATACAGCCCAGTAGCCATCTTCATGCTACGTATCACACGCTGGGTTTGATTACTCCCCAAGTTTTGTTAATGAATAATTCATATGACTACCTTGATCATTCTTCTAGTTTCACTTGAATTTCCCTGTCCCTGCTTGTTCTTGTATTACAGGGAAGTGACAAGCCATCTGTTAGCTTGAGGCCCTCGTAGCCACCAGGGCCACCTTCTTTCACAGTTACTCCCCCTGGAAGAACTGGCCAAGCAGCCTTACTGGCAACATCAGTAAGACAAATGTAGGTATGTGCAAAACTCCTAGGAGTTCTACCTCAGGAGATGCGTGTCCCTTCTTAAAAATTTGCTTGCAAGTAATATACTACCAAAGTCTATTTGACCCTCCCCACACATTTACTAAACTTCAGCCCCATTTTTTAAAAAAATCTAAAGTAGTATTACTGTATTTGAGAGGCATTTTGGAAAATCGGGATTACTTGAGAATCTGGAAGCAAATTTAGAAACAAGAGTTCAGTCAAAACACAGATACAGGGCAGAAGATATGAAAATCAGAACAATAAAATAAAATTAATAAATAATAAAAAAAAAGAAAACGTAGTGGTGAAAGAAGCAGTAAATTTACAAACCATAACAAGAGATGGTGAGTTAATAGGCAAGACTTTAATTAGAGATGTTAATTGTTAGATGACTTTTAATGGTCACTTAAAAACGTAAGGGGGGGAAAAAACCAAACAAAACATTAAAAAAAAGAGAATTAATGTAGAATTTTCAATAGAAATTGTGCTTAAGAATTTGACAACTCGGGAATAAACTGCTCTTTGCTGTTTGTGATGACATCCTGGCAATTTGCCCCCAACATGCAGAAGTGACACGTGCTTCCACAAGATCAGGTGCCAGCACGTCTGAGCCCAAACCAGGACAGTTACTTTAGAGGATTGGATGTCCTGCAAAGTCCAAAGTCTTAGCTGCGTTACAAAGAACAGCTATTCACAACTATGGACATAAGCAACTAATATAAGGAGAGATAATAATAAGGAGAGATAATAATAATTAATAAAACTAGATTTCCAGTGTGGCAACAGCAAAAACCATTCAATATTTCTGAGAAGTTTACACATTCTTGACTGCCCCTTCTCTTATGTACAAACAATAAATAATTATTCTAATTGTAAACACTTACTTCCAGTCTTAACACGCACATTAAATCTGTATCACCTATCTCGCCTCTTACCACGAGCACCTGGGAATTAATTTCCTGCTAGGCTATTGCCTCTGTGCACTCAGTTACTAAACCAACATTTTTTCTTTCTATAAACTGGTCAGACAATAAGACTAGACTACGTTTCATATTGTAGGAAACACTCAAGCATGAAAGATTTTTAATTCATTAAAATATTGAGGGCAACAGTAAGTTTAATGAGGGAAATGAGATAAGATTATTTAACCTCATTTAATTACGCACCCAGAAAAAATAATTAAAGAAATATCTGGAAAAATAATGCATTTTCTCTCTCCCTAAGGACTTACTTAGTTAAATTTGGAAATTCCATCAACCATGAAACAGATATAGCATCATACCACTCATCCACTTGACAAAACCACTGTGAGACCTGATGATAATGCTGTTGGAAACCACTGGAGAGAAAGTGTTTGAGGGAAACCCTGGCGCTGTAAGCCCCAGCTGGGCTGCAGGGTGGGCCTGAGAGCATTACAGGCTGGCAAGAGGAACCCTCCCTCCCACAGGGCCTGAATGTACCTAGCGGCTGGGAGTGCATTAGCTTGTGAACGGGCAGAGCAGATGACACACAAGCCTCATACCTGCTTCAATAATGCATGGGAAGAGCCTTTGTGACTCCCTTTGTGTAAACTTCACAGATTCCCTTGTGCTCCAATCAGTGAGGTTAATTAGATTCTACCAAAGTGATTCTAGCCTCTGTACAAAGGAGAACATGCTCCTACAGAGAATTTGATTTGTTAAAAACACTACAATTCGGCCACAAGGAAATCATTTAAATTCTCCAATGCTGAATGTCAGAGATAAGAGATTCTTAAGAATAAACAAAGCCGCTAGAAGGAATGACTTATTTCTTAAAACGAAATGTTTCAAGTCTGAATTGTATAATACATTTGATTTTGAAAATTACTGAACACTTACAGGTCAGTACTACAGGACCTAAATGGTTTCATTCTTTTTGGAGTTCATTAGCTGCATGTAACAGCCAATAAAACACAGCACAACACTGACTCTTCAGTCCTTTAAATGCCTAAAACTATAAGGATAAAGTCTGTCCTCTTCCTTTTAGCCTCTTAAACATATGCTATCTATAGGGAGCGCAGATCAGTTTTATTCTCTGTGTAGCTACTAAAATTCTCCATAGGCACAAGAATCCTTAATAAAGGTATTTTAACAACAGCTTGGAGTCTGTCACTTTAATATGAGCAATAATCAACAGAAAAAGGTTTCATTATGAATAGCTTCAACTACAGGTAAAAATTAAAAGTCGAATTTCACCTTCAGTTACAGTGTTGAAAACTCAGCCAAACTGCTACTGTTCTTTAAGCAGCTCACTGCAACTATATACAGCAAGATTTTCCCTCACGCAAACAGCATCGACCAATTCCCACCCAAACAACCATTTTTAGAGTATGGTTTTGATTGTCCTTTTCCAAGCAAAAGAATCCACGTGCTACTGAACTCACCTATGTTAAATTGCAGGACACTTGGACAAGGTATTTTAGTTCCGTAACATACCACTAGTGTCCAAACCACTACACATGACTTATACTACTACTAGGTTGAACATACAACTATCTTATATACATACATGCTCTTCCAGTAATTTTTCATTTAAAAAAAAAAAACAAATTATGAACTTTTCTTTTTAATTTCTTCAGAATATCCATTTCTACATCCTGCCTGCTGATTTTGCAGAAAGTCATCCGGGATCATACATTAAAAAAAAAAAAAAAAAAAGGAAAAAAATGCATCTCTGAAGACAATCTCAAGGTTCCAGTGTGTGCAAAGAAACTGACTTTATAAACCAAATGGTAAAGTTTTTTATGTCCACGACAAAACAAATCTCTTCCAGAACAAAAGACACTGCATCAAGCATTCTCCAAGGAGAATCTTTAGAGAAACAATTCATAACCAGATGTGTTAACTCTTGTCTTCAAAGAAAAAAACATCAATTGTTACTTCAGCACAGTTCTAATAACACTGTCTCCCTGGACACATAAAACGGTCTTGAGCTCTTTTACAGATTCCTGGGCATGTATTATGATATTGTTAAACCATTCCAAATGGCATTCAGTTAGATTGTCAGTTTGTGACCAAAGACCTGTTGTTTCTCAGGGTGTTATATACTGCTTATTTTAACAGATCAAATTCTTGTTAGTGGAAATACAGTGCAACGTTACCTACACAAGAAAACACAACTTTGCCTCAAACATAACTATTACATTGTAAGTCTGCATTAATCTTTTATCTCAATACTTTGTATTTTGCAAAATTAGACTTAATTTTGGTTTGAAAATAGGTTGCCACACTCTGAACTAACTTTGTACCACAGATTGTGAAAATAACATAAGCCACGTAAAGAGACTTGCCATTTTTCCGTGCCGACTTCTGCGCGGGAGGCGGCAGACAGGTTTGTGCTGTTGCTAGCTCAGGATTGGCAGCTCTAGCTCCATGGTTGGCTTTTACCTTATCCGCCCAACTGACACCAGAAGGAGCCAGGCGTGTTGCAGAAATTGTCACTGCAGGGTTCCTAAACGACAGTCACAGATGGTTTTAGTGTCTATCAAGTAACAGAATGGTTACTATAAAACAACAAGAAAAGCTTATTATAGCAATTTTTCCCACAGCCTGTCTCCTTTTGTCTTTCCAGTTTTAAGAAATGAAATTTGTAATTCTTGAATGTTAAAGCCTCAGTGCATTTCTCAACAGCAAAATCCCTATAAATTCAACTCATGAAATAAGTATATCTAACCACAGAAACAGGGATGCAGTGATACATCAGCAGATGGGGTGGGGTTTTTTTAGTTTCTATTAGGTAACTCCCTTAATAGCATACTGCATATTCTCAGTCACAGAAAAGTCAGGAGAAGATAGAAAATAGTGCTGCACCTGGAGAAATATCTCCAAGTGAGACTCCTCATATTCAGTAGTCAATGAAACTAATTAACAAGAAGCTGAATTCTCAGATTAACATTTTTAAAATGCCTAATGACTGGAAAAAAAAAAAACCAGAAAAAAAGATGGATGAACAGATCCCACAGGAAACATTCTCTGATACCGCAAATCAAACTCATAGAAATAAACACATGCTAAGTATTTACAGCCAAATATAACAGCTCTTCTACTGCACCTTCCCGGGTCCGGCCTTATTTCATCAATCAACTGTACAAAATGGGCTGCAACCATTACTAATATGAGGAGTCTAACAAAGCATACGGGCAGGAAGCTCAAAAAAGTGCAGATTTAATTGTAAATGTAGATCACACAAACCCACAATGCACTCTGTTCCAAGGTTAAGTAAATAAAGGAATAGATCTATTTTCTATTACCTACTTAGCAAAAATAAATTGTAACTCTGGAAGGCCATTCTATTAACTTTCAGAAAGGTCCCAATAACACTGACCACCCAAACTCTGAATTTCTCTAGGAACAAGTCTGCAATTCTGAAGGACATACAAGTCATCTTGTTGTTAGCTGCTTTAACACACAGAGTTGCTAATTTCCCTGTCACATTTCCCTGTGATGGTGAATAAAACAGCTCCAGCAACAACAGCAACATGTAATTACATATAAAAAAAGGCTTAGCTGAAAGACATTGTTAAGCTGAGCTGTTGTTGGTGTTCTAACAAAAGAGCATTGATTTCCACCAGATTCAAATTTTTCATTTGACTACTTGTGTGTATTTTCCCCCTACCATCATGCATTTAAGCAGACATCTCTCAAATGTTGTCAGGTAGGTATCAATACATACATCTAGACAAAGAGTAACTGGAGCAATTTTTCCACAAAACACACTTTGCAATATTTTGTAGAAATATTTGATATTCAAAATTTAAGAGACCTCAATACTCACGGGTACTGACCAAATATTCTCATACTACATCTCTGCTGAGGACATTGTAACCACTTATGAAACAGTATAGCACGTGCTCTAGATCCCAACACACCCAAATGATGTAAAAAACACACCCTGAGAAAGATTTGAACTGAACACACACATGCTCTCCAGAACTGAAACAGTTAAACAGATAACATGAAATACCTTAATTGTATTTTATCTTCAGGTTTTTAGAATGACCAGTAATTAAATAGATAACAAAGTAAGTAAAAAATTAAGTCCTTGATATGATTTTCTTTTACAGATCATATGTTTTTCTTTCATGAATGTAAGTAATTGCATATAACACTTAATACAGCAAAACAATATATTGATTACTATAGAAAAACAGTGTATTCATGAACTCTCCTTCAAATCAATCCTCAGTTTAGTTTTAATAAACTTATGATCTGGTTTCATACCCAAAATTTAAACTTCTCCGAGCATTTGATGTCACACTAATTCTATCTGTTGATGGACTTGGAATCACATGGCGTCCTGGAGACATTTTCTTTACTTCCCAGGCTAATGAAGTAGGTCTGCAAATCCAGGAAAGAACAGTTTAAAAAACAAAATCCACAACAACTATTCCTCTAGCACCTTAAAGGAAAAACAGCACCAACAAAGGCTACAAAGTACTAATGAGCACTGCCGAATTTCATCATATATCTTGGCAATTGTTTTTACACCAACTCCAAACTGTATCAGCCAGACCCCTATGAAAAGGAGCACACACTCTCCAGACTGCAATGCTTATTTTACACGTCAGCGTGGGACCAAATATCAAACCAACCACTTAAAAGGAAAGGATTGGGGTACAACTGGAAATATCTTCTAGTTCTAGTGACAATAACAATGCTTAAAAAAGGCCACAACCATTTCAGGTGCTCTGTGTTTTCCTATGCTGTGTAACAGAGCATTCAATACAGTTGAAATGCTGCTTAGGTTAATACAGGTATGAAATATCTCCAGTACATCAAAAACTTCCGAACTAACCAAATATATCACCATCCATTCCTCCTATTATACTACTGACATACCAAACTTTGTCAGCAATAATATTTGCTGACAAATGTGTACTTGCAAAGATAATTGAACAGGTTGATTTAAGTTAACTGCCACTGACATAAAATGTTCTCATCCAAACAGACCCAGTTTGAGGCAGAAGCCAGGGCAGCAGTTTCATTATGCATCTCACTGTAGCTGATGCTCTTTTCTTTCTTTTTTTTAACTCTTGCTCCTGAAGCCATCTCATTACACGAAAATTACAGCAGGCAATTAAAAACAAAATCAAACTTGTGGAACACAGTGCTGGCAAAGACAGATTCAGAAAAGCACTTACGTAAATTATTTTTTAACTGGTTCCAGTACTACTAGCGGGATTAACAAGCTATAACCAAACAACAAAACCACTCTGTCACGTTTAGTTTACTTTTTGTCTCCACCTAGGCAGATGAGCAATTGAACTCACTACCCAACAAAGAAAAATGGAAGAACTAGAGTGTATCACTCCATGATTCTATGATTCTATATACTACAAGTCTCCCTTCTTCTACAGGCACAAATTATATTAGCAAAACCTTACTTCTCATTTACCTCACTACGCTAAAACTTAGGCATCAAGGCACAAATTCAACACTAGGCACAAATTGTAATGATGTTGTAACCAGTTTTACCTTTCTGATACTGTACTTCCAAACCCTTTACCATTTCCAGCACAGCTGTTCACTGATAACACAAGCAGGGAGAATAAAATCCCCTCTATGTCCTCACACCAACTGTGTCCAAAAGGAAAATTTCACAGAATCATAGAATGGTTTGGGTTGGAAGGGACCTCAAAGATCATCTAGTTCCAACCTCCAGAGCAAATACTCAAATTGGTTCTATTTGCTGAATCTCTGCTACAAAATGAAGTTACTATGAGACGGTATTTGGATGTAGATTAAAAAAAAATATAAATCTAATTACCTGCTTTGAGCATCAGCTTTCTCTAGCTTCTCCTGTAGCTGTATCCAGTCAATCAATGCTTTGAAGTCCCTTACATAGTTATCAAGCATCATCAGCACCTCCTGAAAAGCAACCATTAGATCAACCTTTGTCTTTAAAAACCAATCCCTCTGTCCCAATAAAGGAAATTTACTAGTCTGTAGCGGTCATAAAAAACAAAACCACGAAAACCTTGAAAACAAAAAAGCCTAGATAGTTAAGATTTTTATGTGAACAAACATTAAAGACATTTATCCTATCAAAAAAGTGCACATTTTCTAAGATCTCTGTGAGCACCAATGTCTAAGGCCAAAATAGCAACATCTGGCAAGAAAATAATTCCTAACATACATAGGTATCACTGTTACAGGATTTTTTTGTCAGAGTTGTTATCTTTTAAAATATGCTGGACATACTTCATCAAATAAGCAAAACTGTCTGTAAGACATGAAAGATCTGTGGGAGACTAAAAATATCATCATTGATCTGTTCGTGAAGCAAAAACACACAAAGCTACCCAAAGGCAACTGCATCAGATGGAAGGAATTCCTTCTGGAGAATCCTGGGACTCCTGCACTAGAAAAAAATAGTTCTTACGCCTCTGAAGTTCAGCAAACTGTATCCTGCTCCTACAGACTTCCAAGTGTGCAGAACTTTCAAATGACGTCTGCTTGTACGTGCCCAGATTAACGACAGGCATTCTATTGTCACGTGAGATTATCAGCACTATTGTACTAATAAAACAGTTTTTAATCAAACGGACTCTCGTGGCAATATTTTGAGTGGCAAAAAGAGAAAGCTTTACACTTGGTTTACAAAATCATTGTTTGCCATAAACTTACCGAGAAATAAACAATTTATGCTACGAGATGCAAAGTTCACATTCTCTTCTCTGATTAGCACATGGTAACAAGTGAAAAAAGTCACTAATTGCACATTCTTGTCTATGGAGTAATGATACGTCCAGGCCTTACAACTCCAATACTCAGATTACACTTCTTGACCATTGAAAAGCAATTAGTTTTTTACCATTTTACAAATTACTTCTGAACTGTACAATTACCAAAGAACTTACACATATTTACACAAATTAATCACTGAAAGCTGTAGCCATGAACATATTTTTATGGCTGGAAAGATTTACACGTTATCATAAAATAACACAACTGGGAGGGATCTTAAGAGCAAAAATATAATCCATCCCATAATAGTCCATCCCATAATTCCTGGAAAGGATTAAACATACACTGTCAGAAATGAGCTGGAGTTTTATTCAAAATATTGCAAAATCTTGATTAAGTAGCTAGAATCTTGTAAATTATGTATTGGTCACTAACAAATAAAATGAACTGTTACGAAAATACAAATAAAATTAAGTTGACTTCACAGTGTATCAGGAAGAGATTCATAGATAAAACACCAGTGGCTGAACAGCAGGGAATGAAGAGATTTGTTTCTGATAAAAATATCCTTAGCTTTCAGAAATTATTGACTGTATCTACCGATTTCCAGTTTGGCCAAATGTACAAGTGTAGTAACTATAGTAAGGTCAGATTACAGAAAGAATAAAATATTAAAAGGTAAGTTGGGATCCTGCAGTCTTTACTCAGACAATACTGTCATTTTTTCACAGCAAAGCAGAGCAAAAGACCACATGATTAAATTCTTAGCTTTGTTCCCTGAGCAAACTATAGTTATCTGCTGTCACTGGTAGAGAAAGGAGCAATTCCTTACCATGCAGGAAGCTAGGAAATCACTTCTATTCCACATATAAACTCAAAAATTATTTACTCAATTTGACAAAAGCCACACAGACCATCACAGTCAACAGGCACAAGGCACCTTCTCAGCAGAGCTGACTGTCACCCAACGAAGAAACGTTAATGCATTTCTAAAGGAGACAGGTCGAGATCATCTCAACCAGAAATGGAAGCTTCCATAGCTACACTTTCAAAGACAAGAAAAATGTAGACTGTACTCTATGATAATAACACGCTGAAAATAATAAAAAATCCATAAATGAATCTCAAATTCTATGAAAACTTATATATCAGCTTCGCATTCAGAGTTTAACGTATAGACATAATTTTACGGTATAAGGAAAAACGCTATCAAAATGTTGCTGGTTTGCAAATTCTTTACTGTGTCAAAGCCATTCCCACTGGTATCAAGAGAAATTTTCTGCTCAAAGCAAATTCTTATTACTTAGAAATATCTTTGGAACAATTACAAATGAAAATGTACTGGATCTTAAGCATACAACTACAAATTTCAACTGTAAAACTGTTAACACTGAAAACAGTAAAAACACTCTACTATAGTACAGGTAATTAATGCACATTTTTGTAACATCCCATCCCATTCATCTTTACTTTTAATTGTCCTTTTCATAGAAAAAGGACCTCTAATGTATGCAAAATGCTTTTCCATACAGAATTATATGGATGAGTATTTATTTTGTTTAGCATAAATTCAAGTTTGAAATTCAGCTTCAGTTTTCATGTAAGTATCCTTTTAACCAGTACATATGACAGATAGAGAGCATATGCTGGTTGTTCTAAGGGAAAGTCACAGGAAAGTCAAACACAAGGGAAATCAAACAGGACACCACTGATGTAAAAGTTGCTCTTTGTTCTGAAATGCTCCACAGAAAAGCTAACAAAAATCTGTCTTACAAGGCAGTTGGTTTACAGCACTAAAATAATTCTTAAGTAAAGCCTGCTACAAGAATGAACAAGTCAAGTATTTTAGCCATTCTTTTTTCAGTTTCACTAATAAAATTTCAGCTTTCTAATTCAATTCACGTCCATTTAGGTTAGCCCATACTAAGCTGTGCTGACTGTTACTAACAATAAGAGCATAGAAAGCAAAATTTAATTCTGAATCACTTACTTTTCAAGTCTGCCACTGAGATATTCCTCACAAAAAAAAAAAGAATCAATCTGAATATGAGCTATATTTCTGAAGTTAGTTAGCACAGGAAAAAAAATACAATAAAAGGTTTAACCTACTTTCAGGAATGTTTAGCTACTTGTTATCAGAAATGATCAGAGCAGAACCATGCAGCTGTAACCCGAGCCATGTTTTACGAACAAGGGAATACAAACAAGACAAGCAGCTGGAGCGGCCCCATATCCACTGATGCACATCTTTCCCCCTAAAGCTATGAGGGCCATTTTGTCAAGCAGGATGAAGCAGAACAAAAGTGGCTCTGAAAGCGCCGTTACGGGCATCCAGATAACTACATATAGATGTACAGCTAAAATTACCAATTAGTTTACCAATTGGCTGCAACGGATTCGATTGGTTTGTAATTAATTCTAGTTACTGGCGCATACGGCAGGAGGGTTGGCGCCATCCCTTTGTCCTACTGACACACAATCCTGGCGCGCAGGGCTCTGGGGTCTCGGACATCAATACAGCTCTCCAGCTCACCTACGGTACCGCGTGTAGCAGATATACCCTGCGGTGCTGAAGCAGTGGAAACTCGTACCACTTGAGAAGGTGCTGACAAAAAGGAACCTTTATAGGGTAGACTACGGCTGCACTAGAGTCAAAACAATTTTAAATCCCATTATTTTTCAAGGTCATATCCATCCTATACGATTTTTAAAAAGACAGTTCAAACTAAAAAAGAAAGCAACGCTGTTTAAAATCAACGCAAAGAAAATCCATGACATAAAACTAAAACCACTCACAATACAGCTCCTGTTTCCTTCTCCCCTCTGTTCAATTCTCTGATCAATACTCCTGCTCATCTAAAAGCTCTTTTTGTGCTTTTTCCTTCTTTTTTCCAGCTCTCAGCCATTACTGTGGTTTTTATGTATTTATCTTGAAGCTGTACTTCTAGACTCTTCAACTGGGAGATCATATTCATTATTTTGCAATCAACACAGATCTCCAATACATAGAGTAGCTACATCAGATTAACCCTATAGCTACACCAGATTAACCCTATGTTCCTGAATCAGGACAATCTTGACTTGGGCCCTAGATAGGCCTCTTATAATCCTTAGAAACAGAAGTTCACTTTGTTTGAAAATCCCGTAACAGCTTTGAAACGTCATTTTCTCCATTTGTTCTCCCATTCTCAAGCAAGGAGGAGGAAAACATGGCAACATGGAAGACTGTAGGATTTTAAGGCTACTACAATTCAAAACAGTAGAATGCATGTCAGGGAAATGAGCTCAGCCACCACATCTGTACTTCAGCTTATTCTCAAGGCTAGAAGTGTGTGTTTTATTTTACAAACTATGCATACTTTATATTATTTCATTATCTATACTGAATATTTCAGATTATATATTTACCAAAATAAATTCCATTTTCTTGTACTGGAGTACATTTTTAGCAGGCAACCTTAGTTCCTTCTTACTTAAAATTAATGTTATTTACACCAAAAATGTAAATATATATATATACATTTGATGCAAAGGATGAAGAGGCAGAAATATCCGGACTGCCAACTAGAAGAGATGCTGGCTTTTCAGAATAGATTACCATTCTGAAAGATCTCATCCACTCCCATCTGTGAGACTGAATGCCCAATCATTATCCCACTTTCCTGTCCTTCACTGTTGACTCACCTGTGGAAGATGACAACAATGAAAATACAAATGTCCAAAAAGAGGCAGGAGGAACACTCACAAAATAGGTTTTCACTTAGCATTGACTGCCACAATAGGGCCACTGGGTATTTATTTAGAGACATAAACATACTCTTCCTAATATCTCCAAATTCAGAAATTGAAGACATGTACAACTGAGTGATAAGTGGCAGCCTACCATACTTCTGATACATTCCAACTGCAGAATATGACCTTTTCAAAAAATTTGAATATATATTCCATAAAAAACCTATTGATCTGAAAGACTGTCTTGTGAGAAAGACAGAAAAAGAATTATACATGTTCTAGTATGTAAATCATTTGCTTGGGCTTTCAGGGAAACTCACAATTACCTTGGTTTTACTGAATAAAAGGAAAATAGATTCAATCATAGAGTTCATTCCATGCTGAAATTCTTCTAACTAACTGGAAATGATCTAGAGGTTTAAAGAATGAAGACATCAGTACATCAAGGT